CAAAAAATTCCCATTTTCCATAAAAGAAGCAGTTTTTTTATCAATTCGCCATCTCTCTTGAATTTGTCTATACACAAGCCAAGAAAAGTCTGGATACTTCCGTCTCAAAACATCTATTGATTTGAGGCACCATTCACCACTACCACTCAAATATAACAGATCTTTATAAGATGGTGCCTCCATAACCACAAATCTAGGTTTTGTTTAATCTTAAAGATGTTTGATTTATGCTAGCTTTTAAAAAGTGTATATTCTCACTTTAGACGATCAACTTTTGGAATTGGAGCAACATCTTGCACAAACAGAAAAAATGTTAAATTCATTATTGACTCAGTTAGATCCACTTTCAAGCTGGTGAGTCAAATAGATTAAATCAAAGCATTTCATTTAAATGTTATGTTGTTTATCTTCAGATATGGGAACGAGATCTGGGAGATCATGTTTGTGAACTTAAAATAAGAACAGAATGCCAATATATCACGGATGGCATATTTTCTCCTATTTTTTGCAATGCTTATTACAGCTGATATTTCACTGAGACAATTTTACCTCTTTTAGGGGTAAAAAGGAATGATAATTAGAATTTAAAGGTGCCATCACTGCTTTTTAACCATTTCTTTTGAGCACATAATTTGTATTTATTTTTGAAAAACTTATACTACTGTCATATTACTGAGATAATTTACAATTTATAGCATTAATTATGCCATTAAATAAATGAAATAATAAAGATACTGTATATCAAGTGTACTTTATTTCTTTTGCTATACTTGTGTCTAGAAGTACAAGAATGTAAAGATACCTATAGTTGCTTATGCCTACTTTAAAGTAAATCTAGCTGGATTCTATTTCTGCATTATCAAAATAATTGCTGATTTGTATTTTAGAACTTTTATAGCAATGGCTTTTTAATATAATTAAAATCATGTAGTGGCTGACAAATTGAAGGAATTTCCAGTACTTTTAAAAGACCATACTGATATTATTCAACAATACCATTTAAAAAGTAATTAGATTTTAAGGTTATAAGATGGTTTGGATATAGTATTAATCTGTGTTTTAGTACTGTATGTAAAAGATCCTGGAATAGCTTTAACACAGTGAATAGAAATATAATGAATTTTATATTAGACTGATTTTCACCTAATATTGTGTGGGGCTGATTAGAAATGAGCAATGTAATCTTAATTTGAATTTTAGTTTCATTTAAGTAAAATATAGTTAATGTGGTTGATCTAAATTTACCAATAATACAAAATAATTCAACATTATTTTAATGGATTTGTAATTATTTTCTGTCCTGATTAATTAAATCTGATACAGCTTTTTGGCTTTTCAGTATTAATACTTTGGCTTCTGAGCAGAAAGATGAAATTATGGAACAACTTGAGTCTATTAGAAAACTGATGAAAGAAAGTGGATTAGACAAATCGGCCATGAAACCACAAGGTACTTTTGGAGGATTTTACGCTCTCTAATAAAGTACTACTAGATATCTTGATCATTATTTTTAAGCAGTTTTTCCTTCTCTAACAAGTGTTGCAATAATCTGCATATTCTTTTGTGCATATGAATTGGCTTGTTCCATTTTATCTATTTCAAAGTTCCAAGCAAGGCTAGAGCTTTTATTATTTCTTGCTACCTAACTACCATATTATATATGACCTATTAACTGACCTATTAACTTGTTTTTTGAGCAAACTGCAACAATTTGCTTTATGATTTAATAGATAACATAACTGGTGATCTATCAAACTATTGCAATGCACTCTCTATTGTAAGGAAAACAAAAGTTTCTAATTTTCTGGTAGTAAATTGGTTTAATTGCAAAAACAGGAACCTAATTGTAATGTTGTGTTCCAATTTCCTCTTGTGTGTATTAAGATATTAGCCACCATACATGCCAAGAGAAACTTGAAGATCTAATACAGTCATTCAGCGAACATCCGGAAGCAAAAATAGATGAGGATATTTATGAAAAATGTGAGCATGATACCATATTTGAAGATACGGAAGAGTTTTATGGTATAAAAAAGTATCAGCATTTTGATCATGAATACTTACTTAGTACCATGGAAAAACCAAAGAAGATGGAAGTAACCAATCAAGATATAACAGAATTAAATATTGGGTTAAGAAGACGTCTTAGGAACGAATAAACGAATTGTAATGAATATTGGACTTACTATACAACACATTTTAAAAATTTAAAATATATTCACCATAACTGCTGTATGTTTTAAAATGATATATTTATGAACATTTTCTATTTATTCTGAATAAAATAATCTCTGCATATACTGCACTGAAAATTCTACCCAGTATCATAATCACACAGATTCTTTTTAAAGTTGTTAAAAGTGTGGGCAGGGCCACAAATAATATTGTTAAGTTTATGTCATATGGCTCTGCAGAAATTATTTGCAACAAATATGGAATCTATCAGTTGCTTTAGTTACTTTGCGTTTCAGTATAACTTTAGTATGGATTCTGATTCTGATATTCTCTTTTTTTTGAAACAGTGGAAATAGGTTTATTTCTTTGAGACGAACTACCTATATTTCTTTACATTAAATATCAATAAGTCTTAGATTTTATTGGTAACTGAGTAGTATTGAAAATATAAAATGGAGCAGTTAAATACAATGCATGCATTATGATAGCTAATTATATGATGAATTGCCAGCCACATTACCTTGATTCTACTATTGTGCTTAATTTAGTAATGCATGTCATTTAGTAATTGTTGTCATTTAATCTGGTGATTTTTTTCAGGCTATTGATGCAAGTTTGACTGTTACGTAGTTCCAAAATCCTTATAGATGATTGATCGATTCATTGATTATTTATTTATTTATTTATTTTTCTAAACTGCCCATTTCCCTCAAAGAGGGGCTCTGGGTAGTGATATACTTATGTTCCATCTGTTTTCTCAGGGAATAATGTGAGAATAGTTGCTATAAGTATTATGGCATTTTCTGTAGAAGTCATATAGCAGAACATCACCATAGACTCTATAAGGGTAGATTCTTTTTTCAAAGCTGGTTTCATAATTTGTTGCTGATGGTAAGGTTGCAAATTGAATCCCTATAAAGCTCTTCGATATTCATAAATTGATTGAGGTACCAGGGCAATTTCCCATCTTGTAGAAATTCTGTGACATTGAGTTTGTCCAGAATTCTTTCCTTAAACTTCATTGTGGTGCGCTTATAAAATAAGGTCAGCAATGCCTCTGGAGAATATCCATAACAGCAATTTGTCAACAGTGCCCCATTGTCCGGAAATCCAATAGCTATCAGAATGTTAGAGAGGTATGTCTCATAATAGAAAACTTAATTTTAGATAATAATGGAGGTATTTTGTCCTTTATTGAAAGTTAACACTGGCAACATATTTTTCATTTAAACCCAGATGAGAGTGGATTGGCCTGATCTAAGGCCTGCCTATACAACTGCCAAAACATTCTCCCCTCCAATAAACACAATTTCTGGTATAAAATCTGACATGGAGTTTGCTAGCAATATCTAGTAAATTGGTAGGCCAGTACTATACTTCTTTAAAAATATGGTGTATCTTTTCAGCTGCTCTTGAAAATGATAATAAATATAGCCAAGCCACATTCTCTTTCAATTTTTTTTTATTTTTCACTATACACCATACACCAAAAACTACATAAACATAAATCTTTTCTTCTAACAGAACAGTGCTTTACATTTTAAATATTCTTTACATCTTATTTACATTTTATGTACATCAATAATTATGTCTTTTTCTTTCTCTGTTCTAGCCAATTATAACATTTATTCCAAATTTCATAAAATTTTGACGTCTCCTTGTCTTTTAATTCTAATGTAAGTTTGTTCATTTCTGCGCATTCCAAGATTTTGTACATAATCATCATTTGTGGGAATATTTTCACTCTTCCAACATTACGCATATGCTATACGAGCTGCAGTCAATATGTGTATAATGATGTGTTCGAGTTGTTTTTCCATCTTTAAATTTATTATGCCCAAAAGAAATATTTCTGGTTTGAAATCCATTTGTATCTCAGTTATCTCCTGTATCCAATCTCTTATCCGTTCCCAATAATTTTTTACTTTGGGGCACAGCCACCACATGTGGTAAAATGTTCCTTCTTTAATTTTACATTTCCAACACTTCGGGTCTATGTTTTTATACATTTTAGCCAATCTTGCCGGTGTTAAATGCCATCTGTAAATCATTTTATATTGATTCTCTCTATATGCAGTTGATAGCGTCAATTTGCAATTTCTGTTCCATAATCTTATATGCCACATTCTGTGGTATATAAACTGTTTATCAGTAGACAATTTAATTGCATAAATCAAATTATGGGTTGCATGAGGTAGATAAGTCAGAGTATTGTACATCAGTCAGAATGGTTTTGTATGAATTAGGAATGGATTATTTCTCTTCTACGCCCCTTTCTAAGTTTAAGAACTAAAAATATAGTCAATTTAGGGCTGCTTTTGTCAGTATGAATGGTTTTCCAATGTATAGACTTTAACTGCCAGGATTTTTAGGCAGTATGAACAAATATCCAGACTCAGATTAGCCTACTTTGGACACATACCAAAACCTAGCTCTCTGAATAAAGTTTTAATGCTGGGAAAGGTGGAAAGAGAAGAGGATGACCAGCAGTCAAGTGGATGGACTCAGTTACGGTGCCAATGAGTGAAGATTTGAAGACCTAAACTTTAGGTCCTAAAGAAACGGGTTAGGTGCAAATTAGAGATCTGTCATCATGGAGAAATTCTATATAGTTAAGAGTTCACACCAATTTGTTCTGGGAGCTGAAACCCATATACATAAAGAACTCCAGGTTGTGGAGGATTGCTTTCAACTACTGGCAATAGTCCATGTAACTCACAATTTATGCAATGAAAAACAGGATCATCTGGGTTTGCTGCAGCATATTTGGCATTTATTGCGACTTTACTACTTTTTAGAGAAACTCTGGGGAAAGGATAAGGAGAGGAACTACAACTATTTTTTATAAAACACTGGATATCTTTTATAAACTTTTTGCTGAAAATGGATAAAAATGAACTGATTTGGGGATTTGTTTAAAAAGTTTGTTTATGGGAAGAAGGTAACTATGATATGCAATATGACGGTGAAGATGGTTGCTTGTTTGCTATCTTTAACTGCTGCAAAGATCAGAATTTGTTGATTTTATGTTTTTGTTATTTTTATTTTTAATTTTCTTTTATAATATTTTTCTATTTCTACTATGTTTCTGTAGTTTTTAAAATCTTTGTACAATCTTCTTTTAATAAAATTATTCATACAAAAATAGAGAAAGGACGAGGGAGCTGAGTCTGTCCAGAATTATTCATTTGCCACACTGAGGTCCAGATAACGGCCAATTGTTAAAAGATGAACGAATTGTAAAAAGTATCCAAACCAACCCATGAAACAGAATCTTTACGGATTAACAAACACTGGTGTAATATAATTCTCACAATCTGCTGCCTTTTAATGATTTTCGAAATTACCGGGAGTCCTGTTAAGCGGAAGAAAGCAGAACTTGGCAGAAACGTACATCGGAGCAAACAGGTTCTTCCTAAACAAAAACCAGACGGAAATCAGGAAAAGGAAAACCCGGTTAGAGAACGCGCATCAAACTCTCCGGGGAGACACGAAAAAGACGGCGGGAGCGAGAGCTGGACGACTGGGACCGAGCGAGAAAAACGTAGGTGGGAAAAGAGAGGGGTCGGTCACTCGCGTTCCTTCCCCGTTTCGAGGTCATTTTCTAATTTTCAAAGCGTTACACGGGGGAAAAGAAAGCGTTTCGGCCTGTTTACTGGGAACCTTGGCAACCATGACGGCGCGCGCGCGTCCCTCAGCAGAGGCAATCAGACGCGGGCCGAATATTCTGCCATTAAAAAACAAAACAAACAAGCCTGCGACTCCTTATTATATCTAACTGTAAGGCGAAAACAGTTGGAGATGCCTATTTCGCCCTTCGCTCTCCTGACTTTGTACGGCTGTTAAGAGTTATTTTACAGGAACAAGCAGGGTCAACTCATATAAGGAAGTGTCTGCCTCTGAACACAGTGCGTGTTTTCGGCGTGCAAGGGATTTTGTCTGATAGATATTGAGCTGGTTCCTATCCGCGAAAGCTTCAGTTTTGCTTAGTTCGCTAGGAAGTCAGTTGACAGCGAGTTCTCGAGAAAACAGGTCTATGTTCTGTTCTATTTCTGACTGAGAAAATATGGATACTTCCAGCAGGACTTTTAAGGGGTAGAACTTAGTGCTTTCTTCTTGCTGCCCCAGCTTCTGATTTGAAGTTTTGATGCAAGTCGGATATTAATTATTTTTAAATAACTTAAGGCAGGGAACATAATATTCCTTCCCCCCTCCTATTTTCCCCACAACAACTCTAGGAGGTGAGTTGGATGGAGAGAGAGTCACTCGATCAAAGTCACCCAGGCTCCTGGTTTATAGGCCAGCACCTTAACCACTACACCAAACTGACTCTCCTGTGCCTCCTGATCAGTTCTGCCTGTTCCTCTTTTGAAACAGGCACTCTGCAAAATGAATCTAGGGAAAAAACTCTGCAGTATCTTTGTATTGTTTTCTGTAGTACCTTTTCCTTCCATCCACACATACATATCTGCTTAAGTAAAATATGAATATTATTGCTTATTATAGGTCTATAATCTTTAGAGAGGAGTTTTTCAACATACCTAGGTGTGAACACAGCATCTGCCTGGCTTTCTTTAAAACAGCCACATTTTTCTCTAGCGTCATATGGTGGCTGCAGATACTTTTTCTAGTACCATACGGTGGGTGGCTGTAGTCTTTTCTAAAATTGAAGTAATATTGGTATAAATTCTAGCTGATCATCCATCTCTGATCGTATTGTCAGTCTTCTGTAGATATTGTACCTATAAGTATTTTATTATATGACTTTAAGAGCAAAACCTTGTAATATTTTATTTCTTAATTACTTAATCTTTGGTTTATGTGTTAAGAAATATGTGTCTTTAGAGCCACTGGTATGCAGGACTGGTTTAAATTACTGTAGCAAGCTTCTGATGGGATTGGAAAATGACATTCATTGAAACTTTTCCTTGTAATAAATTCTGCTCAATGCTTTTGAACAGAATTTCAATTCAATAGAAAATATATTTAAAGTGAAAGAAATACTTCTTTTATTTTGTTGAAACTCTTCTTATAGCATCTGATCCTCCTCACCAGTCACCTTTATCATTTTACTTTTCAGCTCCATTTTAAGTTATAAACAGTTCAGATGGACTTGGAGATTAAAGGAATTGCAGCACCTCCAAAAA